CTAGCTCAACTCCAGTACATTCTCACCTAACATGGGCATATCCTTAAAAATGAGATAGATCAGATCATAAATGATCTATGTCCTTCTATTGAGCGTAAAGGAATTGTGGTTGGCTAGCTTCAACGCAGACTTGCCCAAACAGATTTAATCCAGGAAACCTAAGGAGACAGCAACAGTATCCATTTACTGTCTTGGAAGGAAATACTCCTTCATATACCTTTTGTCATGCACCAGTTATGTATCTTACAAAATAAACCACATGGGCTTGTCTACAGTCTCTAGCCATACACATAATAGATAACAAATTAAAGTTACAAGCCACTCTGTTTCTTTCCATTTCTAACCTTCAAGTCCTGGAATGCTACAATAATATTCTTACACCTCATGCATAAACCTAGTTACTGTAAATCCACCAATTCCTCATATATTAAAGAAGAAAATCATTATGTAGGGAACAAACACTCATGAATGGTCATATGCTTGTACAGTATTTTGTCTGGACATCAGAGGAGTATCAGGAATTATGGATCTCATTGTTGCCCTCAAAGGGGAGAAAGCATTGCTGTTGCGACCACTAAACCCAACAACAAAGATTTCAACCACTTTTTCTGAAGGCTGCACAACTAAGCAGGTGACACAGATCTGCTGTAGTTTCCTTCTTTCTAGGCGCAAGAAGCAATATAAAGAAAACAACATATGAGTTTTCATCCTTGGTTTAAGCTTTTTCTGCATGCAATCCAAAAGCAATCACAACAGGCCTCACCAAATTATCAGGCAAAGATACTGCTCTTAAGGGAAGTGGTAGCAGGCTCTAGGGCTATATCCACTGCTTCTCAACTGCAAATGAACAGGATCCAACCCTTTTATAAGGGCCACTCCAAAGCTTTGAACGTGGTAAGCTTCAGGCATTATCCTACAAAGCAACAGCTACCTAAAAATGAAAATCCCTACTGATAAAAGATAGAGCATCAGCAAGAAGAATTAAGTACTACAAAATGCACAGACAGATCTCCTTTCATGCACAGGAGAAGGAGCAAGAAACTCACTGTATTTTATTAACCACCATATTCCCAGATCTGTAACAGCTATTTATACACTTTAATCCCTTTGGCAAAGTTGGCTTTAAGGTGTTTTTAACATCTCAACCCAAATCTCAACAAAGCATCTATGGATTTCCAACTCCATTTTCACTTCCAACTACTTCAATTCTGTTCTTGCCTGACCTATAACTTATGTTAAAACATATGGCAGGGCATTTGCTAAAAAATCCCTCCAAGATATATATACCCTAAATCAATTCTAAACAGCTTCAGATTTAAGATCAGGAAGGGGGTGGAAGGAGAACCTAAGAGTGCTTTGTTGCTTTTCTGTTGGGGTTTTGGTTTGTTGCTTTTTTTCTTTTTTTTTTTTTTTTTTCTATGAAACTAACTAAAGCAGCCAAAAGTTATTTAGAGTTAGTTTATGAAGTGAAAATTCTGTAAACTTTCTACTGGAAAGGCAATTTAATCTCAGTTCCAGATACCGACATGCTCAATATACATTAAAAAAAACCCAAAACCAACAACAAACCTTCATAAAGTTTATTATTAAATACTTTGGAGAAAGACTTAGGAAAAATACTGCACATGCATTCAGTAGGAATCCCTAGTGGTTGTCTCATTTACCTCATTACACACATGCGCGTGTACACACAGAGTGTTAATTGCACTCCAATAGAAAACTGCAGGCACAGACTGCAAGAAATTAGGTGGGTCCTTCCTCTGGTTCCCTCCTCCCAAAGGACGCCTACTATTCTTCTAAAAATTCCCCACAGAAAAAGAGAGTGCTAATTGTAGCTATCACAAAGTGTTTTTCCATCGTCACAGAAATTTAATTCCTAAATTTGAGCCAATGCACACGCAGAGGCAGAGACCAAATAGAGGTAGGAGTGAGGATGAATCCACATAGCAATTCACTCTAGCAAGAAAAAATTAAACACACAACAAGATAATAATCCCATAACTGGCATATCCACATAAAAAACTTGAAAAGCTTATTTTCAGCCTCTTAAAGCTAACTGATGCAACACCTTCCTGTGAGAACTTTGCATAGCCCAGGCACTTGCCAACCATACCACAGAGTTACCACAAAATGCATCAGTTCCCTCGTCAGGGCTTGTTCTTTTACATTCTTTCAGGTACAACATGGGACCTCTTTTTGTCCCACAGTAGTGAGATGCTTAGCTCAAATCTCAGTACCTGAGTACTCTAATCCAAGTGACACATGGGAGTTCATGCTGTCTTGTGCCAATGAAAACTGCAAAAGATGCTCAGCATGTAAGGAAAGAGCTGGAGTAGAGAACATGCTTGTGCCATTGTATCAGCTAATGGCACTGCCTCATCTGCAATATCCATGGCAAGGTCACATCTCAGAAAGTTCAAAGAAAATAGCAAAAACAATCAGGATCTTAAAAAAATCTCTCACAGAACTGACTTTCAAAACTTGTGGAACAGTCACATGACAGAGATGTCAATTTGAAGAAACCCAGACAAAGAATGACAAGCCCTGGAAAAGAATGTCCATTGTCCTCGACTTAAGACCTGAAAGAAATCAGCATTAGCTGGCCACCACTGATAACAACTGTTCTCTTTGGGAGCTGGCACCGGGCTGCAAGAGGAAGCCCAGGGAGCAAACAGTAACACACCAGCACCGACAACGATGACTAGAGGACAGATGGTGGGTCTGCAGTTGCACTGGCAATACCAACACGACAGGCTGTACACAGGCAGAGAACAGATCATCTGACCCCCAAGAACTGCTCTCCAGCATAAGACACTCTCAGGAATGAGGAGTGAAATGATGAATGCATGAGTTCCTCGAAGAGAATTAAGTCAATCTGTAGCAGTGGAAACTGTCCCTTTATCCTTATACTCTAATACAGGTAGAAGCATGGGAATGCATTTTCTCCAGGTCTGCCTACCACTGACAGGCAGCCACTGGAGTGTAAAGGAATGACCCAGGTTTACACCTACACACACAGCTGCACTGCAGCCACTCACACCACCTGTGCAAGAGTAAGCTTTAGGTGAGGCACAGAAGATACGTGCCGAATTGTGTTCACTACGAGTGGATGCAGGTGAAAGCAAGAAGCCACCAGAAGCAGGTGCTCACACTTAGCCTGCAGTGACACTATTGTAAATAAGTAATCCTCTGCTTTACCATGTCTCCTGAAACACTGCTCTAAAATGAAAGAGGAGCTGCATTTGTTTCAACGAAGGCAGAACTTTAGATTGCTTAGAAATAAAAAAAGCAGGCAGGCTGTGAAGAAATCACTCCTGCGCATTATAGGAACTGTGGCACAGCATGAAATTATGGGCTCCTAATGGCCTCCAGGAACACATAGGCATTTTCTGCTTGAAAAAAATCTCTCATGCAGTAAGTGAACATTCCTCTATGGACACTGTTTTTGATTGCTAGTGAGTACAGAGGCTCTGTTGAGTGGGAAACCAGACAAGCTGAGGAGAGCTGGAATCCCTGCCCAGACAGCTTACAGTTCACACAGATAAGGTGACAAAAGGGAGGAAAGAATCACAATCAGAACTGCAAAGAAAAAATGTTGAGCCATCTTAACCACAGGATGGGAAAAACAACTTCAATTCTAGAAAGAAAATATTGGCTTGGCCTCTACTTCTAAAGGTAGTCCTCAAGTGTCACAAAAACTATGAGAAGAAGAGTTGCACATCAAAACTGAAAAAAGAATTCCACCCATCCAAACTACAGTTAAAAAAAAAAGTTTATTTTTTATAATATTATATATATAACATAATATTATACAGTTACAGCTGTAGCAAAATTTGCAATCTTATTCATATCAACAAACCACTTAGCCTCAGCCTAAAAATTATATTTTCTGTATGTTAGAGTGACTGAATACCCTGACTTCACAGGGGGAAATCTTCAGTCACATTACACATTTCCATACCTAGGCATGTTCAGAAGATAACTAATTGTATCCATAGGCAAAAGGTGCAAACTATCATAGCATGCACATAACTATGGATTAATTTCCAAATCTTAGCTTAAAATTTGCTAATAAGCTGCCTTTTAGAAAGAAATATTCATATACTTGTCACTTACAAACAGGTGGACTTTGTTATTAATTATGGATGACTGAGACAGCACTCATGGGATGAAAAATCATCACGGTTGTCAAAGGAATTAGCTTTGTACTCAGAGATTTTTATGCAATTTTACTGTGTTTACATTTTACATAGATTCTCAAACACAGCTGAGAAATGCTCAAGTTGTTACTACAATGTACCAGTACCAACAGTTTTATACCCTGGGACTTTTTTTTTTTTTTTTTCAAAGCTAAGTTATATCAATAAACCCCCTGGTTTCATAAGAGGAACATACAGAGAGCTTTCAAAACTCCTGTGACACTGAACTAGAACTCTGAATTTATAATTAATCTAATAGCAGACTTAAAAGAGCCCTGTTTGGACCTTTTTTATGTCAGAGCAATTCGTTGTGACAGAAGATTATTTTTATCAGCTCGGAGATTGCAATCTTTCTCTGAAAGAAGGTACTTCCAAGGACTCAAGTGTTTACAAACAAGCAGAAGCTCTCGAGACTGAACACCTCGTGTATATACACATAACATACATATATAAGGAATAAAAAGTATATACAACTGACAGGTTGAGGATTTCACTTACTTAAAGCACCCAAAAGAAAATGGAGCAGCTTTGAAAATTCATCTCCAAGTGAGGATTGCAGAGTCAGCTTTTTCAAGATTAAACAACTTTATAAAGAAGGACATAAAGAAGGACATCATATGGTAGAGATTAAACTTCAATTTCACCTGTTTGACTTCAGGTCCTTTCAGTAATTTGGCTAAATATATTTTGGCATTACTGAAAGCTGACATTATTTTACCATCGCAAACTCACAGAAGCAAGATGTTCTCTGTGAAGGAGGTCACATTTTTGTATTTTTTTATTCTTTAAGGCAAAACATACCCTTAAATCTGGAGAGAAGTTGTCTGCTGAGGTGGAGATGGAGTCAGACGACAAAGCAGAAGCAGATTTGGTGTGAGTGGAGTGGTCCGACTGCGACGTGGAAGCGCTATAAAGAGAAACACCAGAGTGTATCAAAACTGTGCTCAAGAAAGTTCAACAGCTGACAAGTCCAGCCACTCGCTTACAGTCATATCAGGCATTTTCCACTGTTCCTACCCTTTCCACTCTCAGTTATTCACCCCTCAGCAGTGCTTTAAGAGAACCTGTTCTACTTGCCATTACCAGGGATTACCAAAGCGTACACAACTCATTACTAAAACTCAGCTCAGTCTGAGCCAACATTAAGACAACCACCAGCTTGTGCAGAGGAACACTCGGTAAGCAGCTGCAGTGGTTGAGCTGTGTGCGATGAGAGCCTGAGCCAAGAGGCCAGAACTGCCAACCCTTGGCACAGCAAAGGGCCTGGGGAGCTGCGGCCCAGCCAGGTGCCCGGACACCCAGAGACACGGCAGCAGCCAATGACCCCAGACCTTCCTGCATTTACATTGCAGGGTATAAAAGCCCAGGGTTTCCTTTGTTTGGGGTCCCTCCTCAGAGGCACCAGCTTGAGCTGCTATTCTGTTATTTAGTTACTGCACTGAGATTAAGTTGTTTTAAGGATCGAGTCATCTGAGACCATGCTATGGGAAATCCGGGGTCGAGAAGGTAACTTGGAAACTTGGTCTGTCTGGGAGTGTGGGGTGTAGCTGCAAAGGGGCTTTGCTCCCAGCTCAGGTGGTGAGAGAGCGACCGTCAGACTGGCTCCTGGATGGTTGGATGGGGAAGTTTCCTCAGCACTGGATCAAATCCTAAATTACAGAAACTAAGGGCCTCCATTTCAGGAGATATTAGTGCGCTGCAAGGGGATGAAAACAGACAGACTCCTGAACGCACGCCAGCACAGCCCTGACCGCAGCTGTACAGCGGTGGAAGAAATTCAGAATTAAAACTCTTTTCATCGCACACAACTTTTCTTCTTCAAGGACACGCACAAAGCTGAGGAGAATAAAAAGACTCTCCCAGCATATATCTCCGGTGATATAAAATGTGATTCTCTAAATAACAAAGCAAAACAAAAATTTTCCTTTTCTATACAGTTTTCCTAATATAGTTGTAAACAATTAAAAGAAGCTTATATTTTACAGTATTTTTATGCTGCAAACTCTCCTAGAACCCTAACTGCTTAAAATTAGCATTTGGTACTAAGGCTTTTAAAACCCCAGATGACTGTAAAGAAAGATCCTGCGTGGTACAACGTTACTCCCTGATGTCACTGTGCAGTGATAAATACTACTTGTGCCAATTAATTCCCACATTCTTACTGACCCCACAAAGGTCTTAGCTGGGTGTAAAGATACTCTTAAGGATCAGCTATGAGATTTGGAAGCCTAGCCTTGGCCAAAGCAGAGTACCAGCAGGAGTATTACTGTTACTACTTATATTAATTAAACATGTGACAACCTAGAAATAGCTGTATCTGAGCTTCCAAAGGGCCTGGAGATTTGGTAATTGTCTGAAAATTGTTTTGCTGCTGATAAACAGCCACCAAAAGGCCAAAATGTTCCATTTTTATTTCTATTCTTTGGAGTTTGGCAAAGTATTGCACAGGGAGTACTAAAAACAAAAAGGACCACAGAAAAATTGGGCTCTTGCTGGGAGTTAGTCCTGTCTGTTCAAGAATTAAAGAGTACTGGCACCTCTTTCATCCTATGAAGTAGAAACTTCAAAATGAAACCTTTAGGAACAGTAAAAAGTTATTTAAAATAAATTACACTGGTGTGCCAGTCGATTAGCACAATTCCATTGAATGCACTTGTTGTACAAGGTTCAACAGCCAGTCACTCAGCTTTCCAATGTGCTCACCTCCTGTGGTGTTGCCAGGTAAACTCACATAATTCCGAATGGCCAGAGTGACTTGTGCATACAACTCATGCCCCAGTCTCTGTTCAGGTAGAAAATTATCTTACACTAAAACAGCAAGAACTGAATCTGCCAAACCTCCCATTCTTGTCAATGAAAAGGCCTCATATAAGCACTGCATCTGTGTATAGTTTCACATTACAACAAAACTGATATGAAATGTCTGCTGCTGATGATGGCTGCTCACATTCCTCTCTCCTCTCGACCCATCCTGCACATTGCTGCCATCTCCACTGTGCTGGATGGGCATCATGGGATGCATGGTTCAATCTGCTGATCTGACGGGGCAGTAAACTATTAATAAACATGAAGAGAGTCTTCTGTTGGGTAATAAAGCTGATTGGATTCATTACATGGCTATATAAATCATCAGATGCAGCACACAGAGAGGGAAGGAATCTGTATCTGGAGATGATGAGGAAGGCTGAGAACACTTTGCACACAGCAGCCTGCAGGCATGCTAAATTAGGCTTAGCACTAAACCACATTTTTACATTACTCTTCTCAAATGAGCTCAGACCCCTTATGTGTTCCCTTGAAACTTTTTTCAGCCTGGTTTCTGCATGGTCAGTCTTCACCCTCACCTTTGCACCCATTTAATTAACCTGAATTTTAAAAGCATCTTAAAAAAAAACCCAAAAAACCACTCAATTTAATCATCCCACAGAGCAGCACCAGTTTACTGTACAGCAACCTATAAGGTGATGGTACTCAGAGTGTACTTTAAGGTACTCAAAGGTACTCAAAGTCATCAATGAAGAGTAAGCAGATACTGTAAATGCCATTATCGCTGGGTGACAAGAGTGACTCCTCCTGTCCCCACTGTGCCTTCTCCCACACCGGCTCCAGCCGGGGGAGCCAGAGGCTCAGGGCAAGCCTCCAGAAGCCACGCCTGCTAGCCCCCTCCACTTTCAGGGGCCACACTTTTGTGTATTTAAATGCATTTTAAAGGTCTGCAGCTCTGCTGAGTTTACAAATCCTTTAGCACAGGTGTTAGTACCTAAGCCAGGGCACACCAGCAGCTGACCTGGCCCTGTACCCCATGCAGGACGGCTTACTCAAGCAAGCAACCACAGCAAAATCACAGTAACCTATCGGCAGAAGCACTTGCATTAAAATTTCAACGTCCTTTAGAGACAGAAAAGGGAGCTGGAGAGACCAGACAGGTTTAGTGGAGCATGCTAGTCTCTGCCCCAAAGTGAGGACAAGCTAGATCCCAAGAGCTGTCTGTCTAACTTGCTCTGAACAGCTGCCAGGGAGGGAGAGTGGTAACGAAAGGATCAAAATTTCACCAGTTTTCCTGCTGACACAATTTGTCTGCCCAGGTACATTCCCAGTGGCTGCTTAATACACAAGCAGAGATTATCTAATCTTTGTAAACCAAAGATTTTAATGAAATTGTTAATTACTTTCAAACTAAGGGGCAAACAGCATTATGCAAGGGAAAAAGAAACAGAAAAGGAAAAAGGAGGAGAACCATAATCCAGAGCATGTCTGAGCTGTGAAAGTGTTTTGTGTTTATTGACCACACTCGGCTTCAAGTGGCTGTTAAAGAAGGAAAGCATCTGCATTTTAGAAGTGGATTTGCATTTTAGAAGTGGATTTTCAAAAGCTCCCCAAACCAATGTCCCTGTGCTCCTGCAGAAACCATGAGTGAAGCCTCCCTCCAGTGACAGCAGTGGGAGCTTTTGGGAAGCGATGCCTGCAGACACAGAGAACAATATCCCTGGATAATGCAGCTCAGCACAGTATGCATAGGTTGCATATGTTTGGCTCGCTACCTCTGTTCTCATCTGCCATTTCCAGGAGTTGAGATGGAAGGAAGGAGCAGACAGCAGAAAGGCCACTGGTTTGTGGCTCCCTCCTCTTATCATTGTCAGGCAGCTGCACAGCTACAGCTCCACTGCTTAGCAAACTAATTAATCTGATGACCCTGCATGCACATGAGAAGTTTATTATTTTCAGTGGTTTAGTCAATCTCAGCTCCCCTTTGCTGCCAATACAAGAGCAAAGATCCTCAAACCACAGAGTTTCATATGCCTTTGGGTGGGGGAGAACAGGAGAGCATCCTGGGACCAGCACACAAACTCAAAGTGAGGACACCAGAGCTCCCTTCATGCTTTGCCACCAGCCCCTCTGCATCATCTCAGGCAAATCATTTACTCATGCTTCTGTCATGGCTTCTGCACATTAGCCCAGCTTTCGCCAATGTGAAGTTAAAGCTGTCTCGTGCAGTACTTTTGGCAGCCTGACGGGTATGTCTGGCAACAGTTTAATGTGCTGAAGACCCCACTGAGGACATTCTGTTCTCACAGGGACAGACAAACCCCTAACAGCTGGATTTCACCAGTAAGGCAACACAGAGCAGACCTGAGGGATGGCCAGGGCATGATGGGCACATTTAAGCGCTGGGCTGGGGGGCACCTGACAAACATCTGAGAACACAGGTAGGTTTGGACAGTTCTCAGCCAGGGTTAAAAATCACTAGAGCTTCGCCAGTCACTGCTAGCTGCAATACTACTTAAACATGCAAAATTATGGTATTGTCTCTGAACTGCATTAAGGTTCTGGAAAACAACACATACTCAGATTCACAATCTTCTCAAATACTTTGAGTCGGGCTACAGAAAAATGATTGAGATCCTGTGAGGAACCAGGGATGACCAAGAACCTCCTTGAGCTTTTCTCTTCCCCACGCTCCAGGACCAGACAGCTCTTCCTTGTTCTTGTTGATGGATGTCTGTGTTAAGTATGAAAAGAGACCCCTTCAACAGGTCAAAAAGCACCTTCAGGGCAAGAATCTTACTTCTGTGACTGCCATCTCAATTTACTCCTTATTCCTCCCCCACACAGAAGCAGGAAACAGGTCTAGGGTGCAACTAACACTGATCTGTCTTTCATCTTGGTAATTATTTTTATTATTTAAATGTTTTTTTTTATAGCCAGATTTTGAATGATAAATGGTCCAAATGCGAGCTGTCGGCACAATGGTCTCATACAATGTCTGCACGCAGTAGTAACCCTTTGGCTATAAGGAATACATACATGCAACTAGTAAGAGTATTACACTGGAAACTGAGCACAGTGACTCAACTCCTGATAAAGCGTTCATTGTTATTATTAGGACTATCCCACAATATGCCAGAT